CCCCCCAAAAGACAAACGCATTTGCTTAAATTTACATAGTATACATTATTAACAGAAAAAAACATTAATGTTTCTGATCAGGATTTAAAAACAAAATAAACCAATTTTTATAAAAAAAAATGAAAATAAAACAATTTAAATAACACAACAATCAAAAAAAATGATCAGATATATTTTCACATTTTTCTGGGCTTTAGGAAATAAAAGAAAGAATTTTTAATTATCAATTTGAAATTTTTGTTAAACCACTTTGGAAGACTTGATTAAAAAAAAAAATTTCATTAGAGTACACCACAAGAGGGCTCACAACTGATTTGGCAGATAGCTTGAAAATGCTGCCCTCTATAGGCCAAAAAGTACTGTACATAATATTGAAATTGAATATTAGTATAAAGCATTTCCACAAAAAGTTACTGATAAAAATATTGCAATTTGAACCATACATATATATACAGACACACCAAGCAATGAATATACAATAACAATAAACAAAATATTATTCATTTCAAGTGAATTCTTCAATTGAAAGACTGTGTTAGATAAAGCAAAATGACATTTTTATGGACTGTAAATTGCAAACATAAAATGCACCACACTTTTATGGAAGAGTTGAACATAACCAAAGCACATAACCTAAACTGGAAATCAGGTAATGATTATTTACTACTCTTTTGATATCAAAAATTGCATAGTGTTTGATTAAAGTTGAAGTTAGCAAGCACCTAAAATAGCGATGCATAACTGGACTAAACATTGTCCTGAAAAAAAATAACTTGATTGCTGTCGAGTGGTAAAATGCATCACGATTCAACACAAATAATCAAGAAACACTGTGACTTTTGAATCTGATTCATGGTCTAAGTCATTTCATAAAGTAAAAGACTTTCAATCAAATATATAAGCAATATTACAACTTTAATGTGGTGGTTCCACATGTACTTTCCAAATCACACAAAACAAGTTTTATTTCTCATCAGTTTGGAAATACACAAACTAGAACTATTTCAGCATAAGCAATAATTTAATCTAATACTTTTTAAGCCTAATAATAAGGGCTATGGATATTTTATAAAGTTTGAGTATAAAAGACACGATTTGTCAAAGGTTATTGGCAACTCTTTAATATTAAATTCTGACAAAAAAAAAAATATTATTTGTGCAAAATCTGCTAAAATTGCAAGTTACAGTTACACTGCCGTGATTTCCATATCGTCTAAATCTAATCCAATCTTGTGTTTTTCAAGTTCGCCGAGAGCTGCATCAAGGAATTCATCCGATTCAGCATATTCTGGTGGTAGCTTGTTATAATAATCGTAATCATCGTTGTATAAATCAACGGTGACTTCTTGATCTTCACTGTTTGCATCGTCACTAACTTCATTTTCATCAAGCGAGTTTTTACTGTAAAAGAAAACGTTTGAATAATTATTGCAAGCCTTAAAGTGAGGTGTTCGTCGCACAGCGCGTGTTCGAATTTCATGTAAATAAACAATGTATTTTACGCGCGTTGTATACGTCGCTATGAGTCCCATATCGAACAGGACGCAGCACGACGACTGCCATTCTTTAAGCACAACGTTATGTCTAGTGAGTGTTCTATGCAATGCATAAAATACATATAAAATATAATGTTTTTTACATTAAATTCAAACGTGCGCTGTTCATAATGTAAATTTGTTCACATTTTATTTAATTTTCACAGAATTCAGTCTAAATTTTGGACCAATAAAACCTAATATAAAAAGTTTCTTGTTTTTCATCAAAACATTCGAAAATTTGTGTAAAAATGTGAAAAAAAGCAGACTATAATGTAGATGATGACTGAAGTTGACTTTGGCGCTCAAAAAGTTAATTATGACGGGTACTGTAAACTTTTTATTTTGAGTGGAAAACATTTTGTGCATCAGTGAAAATTGCCAGTGAAAGGAAATACTTTTTGGTGGGGTTCTATGACAGTGTCAGTGACTTTTTGCAAATTTTTCCCTTCCTAAAATCGCAATCACTTTCTAGCAGCGAAATTAATGGTTTACATTAGATACATATGACATTGGTCAAAATCTATATAAAATAGTTTCAAATTCATCTTGTATGTATGCAAGACTAGGTAGAGAAGACTTGATAGAATTTTAGAACAAAAGTTTTTGTTAACTTACTCTGGTTCTTGAACTTCTGAATAGATGTCCATTTCAGGAGTATTCCATATTGGATTTGAACTAAAATAAAAAAAAACATTATTTTTCCCAAATTTTTACTAAACTTAGGAAGAAGACAATCACTGGTGGGGTACGGGCTAACAAGTGTTATAATATGAGAGATACATTTAAAGGCTTTAGAAAAAGTTCTAAATTCCTGAGAGCAACTATTAGGAAGAAAATTTTAGGAAGCAAATTGACTGTCTTCACAATACCAGCAGTGAAGCCAGTTTCAGATGAAACTTTGTATATAAGTCTACTCACCCTTCAAATTTATATTGATTTGTTCCTGGAACTTGTAACGGATTCTGTTTTAGTTCATTTTCGCCTGTGCCTAAATTCCCACCGGCTCGAGCTGCTCGCAGCTTTCGTTGATACCTAGGGTAAGTAGAAACATTTGTTATATTGACAAATGTTTGTTATATTATGAGACACATATGGGAGAGAAAAATTCTCTTAAATATCCGCAGTCAGAAAAAGTCATTAACTATTTAAGACACAGAGACACAATAACTTTCACAAAATATCATGCTCATCAGCGTTACATTTTAATCATCAGCTTTGTAACAATTGTAGCACCAAAAATGACTGCCTTACCTACTCCTCATGGAACAGTAACAGTAAATGAGTAAAAATAGTAAAAATAACGCAACAATCAACAAAATGCCCGTTGCTATTTGTATATAAGCGTTCGTGTCGACTGTATTATCAGGCACCACAGCAGGCTATGGAAAATATAAAGTATATAGTTATTATGGATATAGATGGATATAATCCTTGAATATTGACATGAGCAAACATGAAAGTTCAAAAAATCTCTTGATGTTTGAAAAAGGTTTTTTCATAATGTTGATAATGATTGGCCAATTCTCATTGGAACATTTTTTTGGGTCAAAATCATTGTAATATGAAATTAATGAGTAATAATTGACACTAGAGAGTCATGACTGAAATAATAAATTTTCAAATTCCAGAATTAGTTTGGACACTGGTTTGAGGATTTCACTTGCATCAATCTGAGTTTTGAGAATGTCAAACTAAAAAAAAATGCTGTAAAATTGTATATCTATCACATGAATATTTTGGTAATCCGAAAACAAAACAAAAACAAAGTAAATCTGAATTTGGAATAAAATCAAATGTGATAATTTTGTTCATAATACAATGAATTTTGGACCTTTTTTATTTTTTCTGTAGTATAATTAATAGGTTACATGATAACACTTACCACAATAGCAACGACATTATATTCCTCAAATAGTGCATCTAAATTATCTTCATACGTGTCTAATAAGCTGAATAAAAGAATAAAGGTCATATAAAAAAAAATTACTATAATAAAACAATATTACAATATTATTGTAATTTTGTATTCATTTTAAAATGATTTTGCAAATGTCATTAGTTTATTTTTTAATACATTTTGTGCATGCATAAATTTTTTAAGTTGAGTCTTTTGTTTCAAGCAAGTCAGTGGATTAATTTTGTTTTGAACTTTTTAAAATTTTTCGCTGAACTGTGTTAAATTGTAAACATTTAGAATGTATCAAACTATGCGACTAAGTTATATTCATGAATTCGATAGTGTTTGTTTTGTGTTTTTATTTGTGATCTCTCATTTGAGAGTTTATTTTACTGTATTTTTGCCTTGATTTTTTTTCTGCCTAATCTGCAGGCACAATCTACAATATTATTTCATATAGTCTGCTTCTCTCTACATATGTCGATAACAATTGACAAACCTTTTGATAAAAAACTAACAATAATGTCTGAACTTGTCTGTATGGGCCAAAATAATGACAAAATTTAGTGAAAAAATTACAAAATGTGAAAATATTTGCACTAAATTTGGGCGGGAAAAATATCTGTCACTCAAAGTATTAAAACAAGAAATAGACCTTTTAGTAGTATTATTCATCAAGCCAAATAACATTTTGAATTAGGAAAAACAGAGTAATCAGTTAAAATAACATATATTACAGTATTTGCCGAAGTTTTTGTGATTATTATTCAGGATAAATGGAAGCATACCAATTTTAGCTGTCAGCATCACTGTGATTGCCCTACTAGTTCATTTTAAGGTACTGTAAAAGCTGTATTAGAAGCCACACCACTAACAGAAGTGGCACCAACTCTTTTTGAATAATTGAGAACCAAAAAATTCACCATTTCTCATATGTGTAGATGCTCTAATGGAAGCTACATCCTCTCTGTCGTATTGTACCATTTTAATAGATGTCACAGCTTCTAATACAGATTTTACACTACCGGTACTTAAAATTTTATGACAACAGCGGATATTATAAGAACACAGGTAAGTTATGTATGGTTTACAAAGTTTAGTGAGCTCAACCACACGTATTAAAATAAATGGATGTGGGGAGGAGATCAACAAGTTGGTGTGTTATTTAGGACTTTAAAATGAAAGATGAAAAAGAAAATGTGAACAACAACTTCTGGACAAATGTGAATGTGAAAAGGTCACAACTGGCAAAACAATATAATCAACTTTTTCATGTAGAATATTGTACTTGTATCAGGATATATTTTTTTCTTGTAATCATAGCTAGTACTCACTAAATAATTTCCTGAACATCCATGATTTCATTGGTTTCTGGATCAACACAATGAATATAAATATCAGTCCTGCAGTAAAAATAAAAATTCATATTAATCATGCAAATTTTATGTGATAAAATCATTTATTATATATATTTTTTTGATATCACTCATAGTGAAGTATGCAAATCAAATTATTATTTTATAGTTGAATTTTCAGTAAAAAAATTGTTTTCTGAAATCTCACTTGACTTCAGTACACACTAATAAATAAAAGCCACACACAAACTTTTGTGGTTTTTAAAAAGCCACAATTTCAATTTTGTTATATTGTATTGTTTTTTCATATGATTTCTGACAGAGAATAACATTGTTATCAACAACCATTGTCAACAGGAAATCCTGATCAACAGGAAATCCTGATAGTTGATGCACTGTTACACAAAGACTTTAGTAGAAGACTTTAGTAGAAACATTATGACATTTAATGTGTTAAGATTGTGACATTTTATACATTGTTTGTTACTTACATATCTGAGTTTGGCTCATTATTCCTGTCCACGTGAGTTTGTATACTGTCTGCACTACACAATGCACCAGTAATGTTCTCAATTTCACTGCAAGTCAACCATATAGAACCAGAATTTTATTACTTACAAAATATATACTTTATTTATTACAATATTGAACAGTGCCCCCCAAGTGATACATGTATAACAGCGCCAAAAATGTAATCTTGAATATAGCACTCCATGAGATATAACCTATTACGACATTACAATCATATCACGTGTATCCCTATATACAAAAAACAAACGTGTATCCCTATATTGCAGTTATAAATGGTGTCCACATGCAACACAAAAAGCACCTCTGAACATATTCTTTAACAGTGACTATATGTGATATAATGAGTATCCTACACTGCCATCTTGCTTAAAGCGAGAAGAGTCGTCATCTATCACAGACGACCATAGCATGTCATTGTTTACAAATAAGCATTCACACTAGAGCCTCTGCTACATTTTTAACACAAGTTTTTAATGTCGCTCAGGACTCAATTCTCGTACAAGGGTAACACAACACCCCTTCGCTTTGAATTAGACTATAGCGTTCCAATGCTGCAACATTTCTAAAACTTATATCTGAAGTACTGCATCGCATGTTCTGGGAATTGTTCTGTTTTTTTTTACTCACGCCATGAAATCGTCAATCCAGGTAACTACATCATCAGGTTCATCATATACCACAATTTTTACTCTTTGGTCATCACGGAGAAGATAGATCTATTGAAAGAAAATCACACATCCATCATATATAAGTCATAAAGCAGAGTTCAGCTTCAGACAGACAGTTTTCCATCATCTCTATATAAATTGAAACTTTGGTTATTGTTTAGAAAGATTTAGTTATTGTTTAGAAAGACTTTAATCTTAAACAAATGCATGAAGCGCAATTGATTACTAATATCTTGGAGTCATAGTTCACATAATTTTTCAGATCATTTTTTAATTTAATTAAGTAATAATAATATTATAGATGAATCATATAGGATGGCTAGACATGGGATACAATCCCCCAAAAGTACATAAGATTATAATTAATTAAAACTTAATTGGAAAACTAGACTAAAAGTAATTTCAATAAAAGTTATGATTGTTTCCACATAAACTACATGTAGTTTATCTTCAAAGCTATGGGTGTCCCATGCATATGACTTGCAAATACCAATAAGCCCAAACGACTATATCCAATATTCTGATAGCTTACCTGATATCTTGTATGTTCAGTTTGCAATACGTTTGTTTTTTGTATTTGTTATTATCTTGTTACAAATGATTTTCATGTCGTGTTATGTACAACATGTTAGAGTCTAAATAAAAACACACAATTTTAAACCCATATTTTAACATCAAAAATTAAAGCCAGGATATATTTAATAATTTGTTTTTGAAAATGTACTGGGTGCGTGAATTAATAGAGACCATGGATTATTTAATATTTTTTTCAGTAAATCTGGTTCAGTCTTGCATCATGCAAACCACTTTCAATTTCATGAGATAAATCTCCATGAATGTTATGAGTCAGAACATTTTTAAAATAATGTCAGCAACTTTTCCAAAAGCCATAAAATCCTTGAATCCTAAAAATTAAGCAACTTACAGTATACCTTAATTTTGGTAATATAATCAGTTTTCCTACAGTATCAACTGCAAGGGTATTTATTGCATGATATCTGCATACTGTAAAACACTTTATTTTAGCCGGAATAAATTTTTGTTGAAAAGACATTTTGAATGTTTTGTATGGAATTTATTTTCACTAAGTTTTGGACGAAATGAATGTAAAATAGAGGAAAAAAGGGATTTTCTGTGTATTTTATTTTCACTGAATCATCCCTTCAATAAAAATAACAAAAATGAATTCCAAGCAAAAATAAAGTAGTTTACAGTATCTCAAAATGCTTTCAAAAGCAAAGATCTTGCTTACCGATAACTGAGTGTCATCAGTTTTGTTGTCTATATCGAATGCTGATATTTTCAGATCAAAATATCCTGTCCAACCAGGTTCAAAAACAATATTGGTATAAATGGTACCATCTAAGGGGTCTAACGTGAAAGGATCTTTAGGATTCCCATTTTCATCTTGACATACATTGGGTTGATCGTCTGAAATACAAAATAAGAACTGAAAGTTATATCAAGCAATTAATAAGAGGCATTATTTTTTTTAAATCATGATTATATATGTACTAATACTAAGGCCAAAATTATGTTTCAGATATAAAACATGTAAACACAGAAAAGCATGTCATGTGCAATAGCATAGATTTCTGATAATAAAGATATTATAAACTCATATTCATATGAGCAATAACTCATATTTAATAGCTTGTTTTCATATGAGAAATAACTTGTATTCACATGAGAAATAACTTGTATTCATATGAGAAATAACTCGTATTCATATGAGAAATAACTCATATTCATATGAGAAATATTTTGTTTTCATATGAAAATAACTCATATTCATATAATAAATAGCTTGTTTTCATATGAGAAATAACTCATATTCATATGATAAATAGCTTGTTTTCATATGAGAAATAACTCGTATTCACAGATAAATAGCATGTTTTTATGATATATAGCTTGTTTTCACATGAGAAAAACTCTTATTCATATCATAAATAGCTTGTTTTCATATGAGAAACAACTCGTATTCATATGATAAATAGCTTGTTTTCATGAGAAATAACTTGTATTCATGATAGCTTGTTTTCATATGAGA